AATACGAATACGAATACGAATACGAATACGAATACGAATACGAATACGAATACGGATACGAATACGAATACGAATACGAATACGAATACGAATACGAATACGAATACGAATACGAATACGAATACGAATACGAATACGACTACAAATAGGAATACGAATAGGAATAGGAATACGAATATGAATACGAATATGAATATGAATACGAATACGAATACGAATATGAATACAAATACGAATACGAATAGGAATACGAATACGAATACGAATACAAATAGGAATACGAATACGAATACAAATACGAATACGAATAGGAATACGAACACGAAATCACGTCTATGGATACGTTCGAGTGTAGAATAACTAGGATATCATAATACCTAGCTATTACAACAAGTATGTTAGATAATTGTACATTACATTTGGATTCAACAACTGAACTTTACTTTTAAGAAAAATAAGGGTTTTTCCTGGGATAACAAACTGTACATAACCGGATCGTATAATAAACGGATAACTCAACTAAACTTATAAGAAAATATGGGATTTTCTTGGATAACAAACTTTTTCGGAAAACCAAAGGAAACTTGTACATTTTCAGAAAACAAACCTCTTATGAACTCACCAGCTTTATGCTGATTTTCAAACTGCTTGTATTCTTAGATCCATATTAGACAGGTACCCGCGATCTTTTGGAGAAGACGGAGCGTACAGAAGACTCGTCTTAACTTTTATTCATATGATATATGTATAACCTTTGTAACACTTTGTTTTCAAACAAATGTAATTATTCATATGTAATGTAATGTTTTGTGTCTACTATGATTACTATGTACATTGGTATCACAGCCCTTGTTTATAGTGAACTAGTATACCAAACCTTACATGGTATAAGACTATAAACACTAAGGGGCCTAAGTGCTCTGAACTAAAAGTATACCTCAAAATATAAGTATTTTCAAAAGTATACAAAGTATACCTAACTGTCGAAATCCATAACTACAAGTAGAACAAAACATAAGTAAATGGGTGTTGTACGTTGCGGTTAAACGTGGGCAGTTATGTAGTCGTGTCTAGGATCAATATAGCCTGGCCAAATATATTCATTCGAGACACGGCCAACATGTGCTCGGGAGTGACTGTGGTGTGCGGCATGCCTAAAACTTACCCAATACCCAAACAACGAGTCGTCGTTGCAGCGAGACATGAAATACTATGGGAGTATTTCTTGAGCCAAATCCGTTATAGAAATCCTCATTCCATCATTGCCCCTCGATCATTCCTTTAGCGATAGTTTATCTGCTTTGATAACTCTTTCCTGCTTTATCGCTTAATAGAATTCTATATCTGTCATAATCTAATATCTCTTGTATCATATCTCTTGATTCAATTTAGAGGACTTACCATCCTCTCTTTCCTGATCTTTTTAGATCAAGATGCCTCCAAGAAAGAAACCTAGTTCAAAGAACAACAACAACCCTCCACCACCACCTCCTCCTCAATTTGATCTTGTCGTGTTCCAGGCAGCTGTTGCTGCTGTAGTGGCAGCCGCCATGTCTCACATAAACTCCGGTGGTTCAGGAGGTGGTACCCAAACCCAAAACTAGGAAGGTAGCCAGGGACACCGGAAGGAGTGTTCCTATAAGGACTTTATGAACGCGAAACCCACATTCTTCGATGGCACAGGAGGTGTCATTGCCCTAAATAGGTGGTTAGAGAAAATCAAATCTATCTTCAAGATCTGTGCTTGTTTAGAATCCGACAAGGTGAAATTCGATGCCTGCACGTTCACCAATAAAGCTCTTACTTGGTGGAATGGCCGAGTCAAATCTCTAACCCTACCTGTAGCCAATGCTATGGGTTGGGAAGTCATGAAGGAACTTCTGTTCGCAGAGTACTTCCCTCGGGGCGAAATACAGAAGCTGGAGCACAAACTCTGGAACCTAAAGATGAAAGGTTCCGATATCGCCGCTTGCACTTCAAGGTTTGACGACATGGCGCTTCTTTGTCCGGGGATGGTTACCCCGGAAAGAAAAAAGGTTGAGAGGTTCATCTGGGGGTTGACCTAGCCAACCAAAGGGAACGTTTTAGTTGTGAAGTCGGATACATACGACAGAGCCAAATGCCTAGCGCAAATCTTGATAGACCATAGTGAGGACATAGAGAAAGCAGCCACCACTCCTGAGCTAACAGAGAGAAGTAGTGACAAAGAAAGTTTTGGGAGACGAAGGAGAAAAGTCAGCCTTCACAAGAGTTCGCGAAGAAACAGTAGATAGTGGCAGTCCACACTGCCACTACCCCTGCTGCTGATTCTGTCGTTGGTTCCTCGGCCTAAGCACCTATCACCGGATATGCCGATATTGTCCCATGGTGTAACCGATGCAGTTACCACCACCGCATCTCCGGTCCCTGTCGTGATAAATTTTGAAAATATTGTGGCCAAGAGGGTCATCTTGCGCGAAGTTGTAGAACACCAACCAATCAAGCTTCCGGAGCGGGCATCAGTCAGGCCTGCTAAGGTTGCGGTGAAGTCGGGCATTATAAGAGAAACTGCCCCAATGCAACAACAACTGGCAACACTGGAAGAGTCCTAGCTATAGGACAAGTTCAGGAAGCCGCCAATCAGTATATTCCTCTTCGACAACCCTTATGCTTGCAATCCTTTTCAATTCTAGTACTGAAAGATAATCGGTTAGCTATTCATTCGAGCATCCTTATAAACATAGTCCTCAACTAGTAACCGCAACGTTTACCGTCGAGATACCGAACTGTGAGAAAAAGAGCATTAGCGATAAACTTAGTTATCAGCCTATGTGATCAACGAGAAGCAGGAAGTTAAAGACCATGAGAGCATCCCCGAAGTCTGCAAATTTTTCCTGATGTCTTTTCCGAAGAGCTCACAGGAATTCCCTTCGGACGCCAAGTAAGTTTTTGTATCGACCCAATTCCCGGAGCAAACCATATAGACAAATCTCCACATCGATAGGCTCCAGCAGAAATGTAGAAGTTACCCAGTCAGCTTCGGGTTCACAGGAATGATGTTTACAAAGCAACATTCAGGACTCGACATAGTCACTACGAAGATGTAGTGATGCCCTTCGGTCCGACCATTTTCTTGGTCATGTAATAAGCAAAGAAGGCATCATACATTTTGAAACGCGTAAAATTTAACCCAAAGTACATAGAACTTTTCGAAATCAGTATCGATTTTTAGCCTACAAACTCCGACTACCCTCATAACTTAGCAACATCCATCCGATATTCCACGTGTCTGTCCTTAAGAAGTGCCTATTCGACGAAACCCTAGTAATTCCTTCGATGAGACCAAAACCAACGAAAGTCGGAACTCCATAATAGAACCAATTGAAATCATAGATCGGGATATTAAACGTATGAAACAAAGTCATATCCCAACATTGAAGATTGCTGGAAAGCCACACTAGGACTCACTACTAGAAAAACAGCCTTTTACGACGCGCAAAACACGACGCTATTTGATTTATGTTACGCATTAGAGAGCGACATTAAAAAAGAGTCATCTCTTCAAAAAATTTAAGAATTTAGGTCGCGCATTACTGAGTGCCCTTAAATTAGTGTCTCACGAAAAGAAATTAAAAACACGGAGGGCGCTTTATTTTATAGGCGCGTCGTCTATATTTGTCACTTTATAATTTTAATGAAAACGCGCGCTTAGTAGAGGTGGGAAACGAAATCCCCAAAATTTTGAAAAGTCATGTTCTACCTTCTTTCTATCTTTCGTCTTCTCCCCTCTCCCTCCTTCTCTCTCCTCTCTGATTCGCTTCCCCGCCACTCCTGACCTCCTTATCGATCTCATCAAACATCGTGTCCCATCCTTAATACCTCGCGGGAATCTAAAATTTAGAAAACCCCGTACTCAAAAAGTCTAAGAAACTAGGGTTTTTTCATCCCTCAAAGAACGACCCACATCCTCCATAGATCGATCTCTATCGCTTCATTTCTCACTAGAAATCAAACACTTTACGTTCATAGGGCCACAATTGCAAGGATGCTCACTCACCTTTCTAGAGAATACCTTCGCATATATAACACGATCATCTTCACAAAAATGGCTGCCACCATTTCTTGAGCGGGCTCAAGCTACGATTGACAATCGGAGCTCAAAGCTTTCGACCAAACAAAAACCAGCGTCAAAGGCCTCGTCGATGCCGGAATCCAATCAGAGCTAGGGCTTTTGTGAAGAACTTTCCCCCTTTCTCTACTGCGTGTTCTCTCTTCTGCATCTCCACCCTCCAATGAAATCCAATCACCAACGATCCTATAACAGTTTTTTCTCATGCTCGAACCCTAGATCTCACCTCGTACCTTGCTACATCTCTATAGCGACAGCGGCTAAACAGAAACTCCACCACCACTAACGGCGGCTCGAACCCATTGATTATCTCAATTTCCTCCTCTGTTTGGGGGATGAAAACTAATGTCGAATAAACAACTTCATTTTTTGATTCAATTGCTTGATTTTGTCGATTCGTATACGATTGCATCAGCAGCTGATCCAGTCTCGCACCAAAATCTATTTGAAGAAGATTAGAGACTGTTCAGCTACAATCATGAATGACACAACCTTCACCCTCCTCCGCCTTCTGTATACATGCTTCTTTGGTATCTACATGTGCGCTAAGGGACTGCATCACAAGTAACTCTGGTGACATGTATGTGAAATTCCCAATTCAATAAATGCTACCATACCTAGGTCTCGAGTATTCTATTGAATTTTTCTTTAATTTGCAGAAGTTCTCCTGGATTGGCATTTTAACATGTGGATAATACTCTTCTTGAAGATGATGAGCCTTTTAAAGCTCCTGTTCGTTTTCAACTTTTCGGGTAAATAAAGAAACATAAAGGTGTTGAAAGTATATCTTTGTGGCTGCCTCAGGCTCCCCCTGGATATTTATAAATGGTTTAGTGTTATCCTCCGCATTGATAACTAGGATCTGAATTGTTTTATATGTTTGGAATTGCAGATGAAACCATTATCTAACATATCATTGAGCAATATTGGATTTAGTCTCCATAGCAGGCTTGATTACCTCAATGCCACTGTTTGCTTCTCATTGGCTGCCAGATCATATAATGATAAACTTGAAGCTTGGGAGCCTCTTGTTGAACCTGTTGATGGTGTCTTAAGGTGGGTTATCTCTTTCTCTAGAATTTTTCAAATAGGTTTTAGTGATAAATTTCTGAAGGGATCCCTTTTCTCTTTCTTTCTCCTTGTTTAATGTCTTCTTGTTTGGTTTTAATGTGAAGGTACTAAAATGATGTTAATGCTCCAAGTGCTGCATCTCAATTACTTTTGATGTCACAATGACTTTTGCTGTAACTGGGTTGGTCTCAGGTGCAGCCCAAAATATCCTTGTCTGTACACGAAGAACTGCATCTTGGGGAGCACATATCTGCTCATCTGGGACCTACAATCCATTTCTTCAATGTAAGTTGATACTTGATATAATAAACTTAAAGTTTTTCAATTGAAATTCAAGCGCTTTCCTAACTACACTCACTTCCCCAGAAATCTGTTTGTTATTCAAGACAAAAGAAAAACACACAAAACAGACCCTTCTGCACACAAGAACCCAAATATTTCCAAAACTCTTCCACTTTTAACCTTATTTTCTTGAGATACATTAACACCAGTACCCTTCTTTTCTAGTTCTCACCTTTCAAACTGTTTTAAAAATGATCATTGTCCAGGCTGTCAACATGTGTGTTACTCGAAAAACTAATTTTCAGATTTCTAGAAGTGAACAAGACTGAGCCCTCAACCAATTAAACATATGGTTCACTTTTAAAAAATCTAACATCTATCAATACATTTGTTTCTGGTGTTTTAGTTCCTAAATCATACATATGGCATGTGGACAATGACTTCTATTTACAACCATCTACCTCATTGATCTTGGATGCCAACAAAGAGGGTTTACAAGTATTTGGTTAAGATTTCATGAATGATGTGCAAGTTGCATATAAATACAGTTATGTCCCTGTAGAAGCGTATCTGTATTTTGTGGATAATGGCATATTCTCTGTGGATGGTGTGCTTTTCGATAATCCAGTGACTCCATCAGCAGCTTTTAGTAAGTTTTGAACTCCTCTTCACCTCTACCCTACTCCATCTACAACGACTCCTTAAATTTACAAACCCTAGTCCAGTTGCACTTCTAGTCAAATCAGGTACCTATCTATCTGCTTTCTGAATTCTCCTGGATTGGAAATTTCTTGATACTTCGCTAGCTTTTAAACAAACAAAAATCAGTTTTTCTCTTAATAATTCGTTGGATTTTTCATTAGTGTTCCCCTTACTGGTTTCGATAACCTCTCTAATCTGTGAGGTTTGTGTTTACTTTCTTGCCCTCCCTCTCTCTAAGAAGAAAACGCAGCCTCATCGTCTTCAATCACCCAACGACATAGGTGGAACTCAAACTTCTCAGACCAAAAGAAATATTGTACGAAAGAAAAGTTATCCATTAATGGAAGAAGTGCAGGGGGTTGCTTATTGGTGTTGTTCTGAACATGAGACCTGATTTATTTAAGGCTACTATAGCTGGAGTACCATTTGTAGATGTTGTGACTACAATGCTTGGTCCAACTATTCCTCTTACAACTGCAGAATGGGAGGTGAAATTGAGGCTATAGAATCTAAGTGTGATACCAGTGTGAATTCCAATCTTGGGAACCATGATTGTTTAAATCCTATGAATGATATCCTTGATACCATGTAAGTTTGAAAATTTAATCATTGCAACTTACTAAGTATCAAAATAAGAAGGTTGGATGTTTTACTTTGTGATGTTTTTTTATTTATTGTTTATCAGAATTGTTACTTTGCTCTAAGAAATAATTGTCATCAACGGATTATTCTACCATACACAGGGGACAAATACCTGCTTCATAAACAAAGCACAAAATGGATCACAGTTATGACAATGGCGCCTCCAAGGCTGGAAAACGGTGCCGGGGTGTTAGATAAGCCAGTAATAGAGAAAACAACTCCTGGAAGAGAGTCTGAGTTTGACTTGAGGTATTGTATCACTTTCAATGAAGTTTGAAATGCATATAGTAAAAGATTAGGTCGATTTACCTTTTTTTTGTTTTTTTAGGAAATCAAGGAAAATGGCACCACCATATAGAGTGATGCTACACAATGACAACTACAACAAGAGGGAATATGTTGTGCAAGTGTTGATGAAGGTTATACCTGGAATGACAGTTAACAATGCAGTTAATATCATGCTCTTGACCTGGACACCACTCTAATAGGGCTTTTCCAAAAAAAAATTGACCATCTTGAAAATATTCCAAAACCACAGGGTGGAAATATCTCTACAATTACATGTGATTTATCAGTAAGTATAATCTTTAATTTTAATCCATTCAAATATGTGACATGGTTTTGTTTTATTTATTTATATTTATACTCCTGTATATAATGTATAAAAAAATTACATAAACAGGAATTATGTAAAGATTGGTTATCAATTTTAATGATTGTTACTTCTGCACGATCTTCAATTAACATAAGACATTTGGAGAAAGCAATAGTGTCTACTGGAAAAGAAGGCTTGTTATCTGAAGGGAATGGTCTACTGGAAATGAAGGCTTGTAACATTTTTGGTTCTTGTTCCCAACTTTACTTGGAACAGGGGCCGAAAGTGTAACTTACTCTAAATTTTATATGTAAATTTTATTTTATATTTTGAAGGGAAATTTACTGAATATTGATTGGTTGATGCAGTTAACTAGAATTGGTCGAGATGCAGTTTTATATGTTGAGTCGCTCGTTGAGTCAATCATGGGAGGATTTGAAGAGCTAATCAACATTCTTGGTTCTGAAGGAGGTTTTGGCTCTTTGGAGACACATGTTCTTACTATTTTATCAATTTCCTTAAAAAGTTACCAAATTCATGTATTAAATTTGATAAAGCTAACTTAATTGCTTTTTTTTTTTAAATCCTAGCATCTACCAGAAGTCAGCTGAAACTACAAATGGCTTTTGATGGGCGGGAAAGATATATGAAGGTATGATCTATATTGTAATTCAGATTCTATAACTTTTATCATGTAATCTCTTAAGTCTTAATACCCATTATTCCTTATGCATGTAGAGATCTTGGGAGCCAAGTGATAAAGCTGATCTTCACTTTGTCTACAAAGATGTTGAAGGAGTATCAACTCAATGGGATGATATTCAAAGAAAACTCAGGAACTTACCTCCTAAACCCTCTGCCTTCAAACCCGATCCCTTCACTCCTGCAGAAGATGAAGATTCCAAACCTAAAACCAAATCTCGGATCGATAAAAAGACAGAAGAACTCAAAGATTTAGAAGATGATCTTGATGATAGTTGTTTCCTCAAAGAATACAAGTACCTTCAACTCCCTTAATCCTAATATCATTTTATGAGGGTATTAAATTTCATGTGATATTTTCATGGTTTCATTTTCTTTTGTGTTCTTGAAGCAGAAAGAGGTTAGCAGAGATGAAGCAAACAGTGGAAGTTTGAACTCGGAATGTTCGGGCATCATCTATGGTGGCCCGGGCAGCATCTATTTCAATATTGATTGTGTGAAAGTCATCTACTAAAGCAAGGTTGGTGTAAGAGTTGATGATGAGAACATTGTTCCAAGACCTTCAGTGAGTTATGATGATGTCCCTTAATAGCAATGTAGTATTAGGTTATATAGTTACTGATGATTACTTGTATTTGACATTTGATGCAATGAATTATCTTACTTATTTATTGTATTTTATTTTGTATCTTGTATGACATTAATTTTTGTGCAATGGATTGTATTTTTTGTATATGGTGTTTTATTTCTATTATGAGAAATTAAATGCAAATTTAATTTAAAAATTAACAAATATATAAATTTATTTTTTTAAACATTTAAATTTACGATACGCAAAAATGTGTGTCATCTTCATTTATGACATGGCCTTTCTTGACAGGGGCTTTCTTGATACGAATTGCGTGTCATTAACATGCGCGTCGTAAGGTTACGACACGCAAACGCGTGTCGTCTTCCTTTATGACAGGGCCTTCCTTGATACGCATTGCGTGTCGTAAACGCGCGTCGTAAATGAGCGTCGTAAAAGCGCATCGTCTCTCTTTATGATAGGGCCTTCCTTGACGCGCATTTGCGCGTCGTCTGAGCCTTTTACGACGCGCAATGAGTGTCGTAAAAGGTTGTTTTTCTAGTAGTGACTCGGATTCACTTGAGAGCGCGAAAATCCAACAAAGTAGAAGTATCCGTATTTCTTTCTGAATCCATAAATTGTATCCAAAGTTTGAATTTCAGGATGAAATTCCCTCTAACGGGGGGATAATGTGACAACCCGAAGTTGTTCCATCGTCGTAACCCGTTCCGCCCGTAAAACACGTCTTTAGCAATTCGTTCCGATTTCGTTTTTTTTTTGGTCTAATTTATTTAATTTATATGTTAATTATAATCTCATGAGTGTCCAAACTCCCTAGAAATTCATGTAAATGGCCGAAATTATTAATTTCGAAATTTTTAGAATTGGTCTCGCCGGGTTACGACAACTTAATCGGGTGCGACCAAAAGCCCCGTTTAACGTCGGTATCGGGTAGAATTCCACCGTGTCCCAAACCCAAACTATATATAAAGTTGATTAAGCCTCATTTGAAGCTTTTTCACTCTCTCTCTCTCTCTCTAACCTCTCTCCTCAAATCCAAACTCTAAGTCCAAAATCATCAAATTAAGGCTACAAATCATCAAGGTAACTACCCTAACTCTTAGATTAGCATCTTTTACCTTCAATTTCGTGTTCAAATCGTGATTTAGGACCATAAACATGTGTTTACGGCCCTGGAACATTCTTGGGCCGTAAACACATATAAGTGGGGTTTTTGAGCCTCAAAACCCTTCTAAACCATCTTTGGAGCTTAAATATGGCTTATAGACTTATTGGAATGGACTTGGAACACCTTGAACTCTTCACTTAGGGTGTAAACATGAGTTTATGGCCCAAGAACATGCTTGGACCGTAAACACCTATTCATAGGGAGTAAACTCATTTTAAAGTGTTAAGATGCCACTTAAACACACCATAACCCTTGGAATAAAGTCTAGAAGCAACCACAATCAAGTTAAGGGCCTTAAACATGCTAAAATCACCCCCATAGGAGCTTACGTCCGTAAGCCCCTCAAGAATAGGTTCTTAGGCCGTAAACTCCTAAAACATGGTCAAATGATGTCATAAACTCATTCCATGGCTTGTAGAATTAGCTGGAAACACTTGTAATGGCCTAGGGCCACCAAAACATCAAAGGAAAGTGTGTGGGGGAGTTTACAGCTGTAAACTCTTAGTTTACTACTGTAAACTCCATTATATGGTCCATATATTGGTTTAATCCTTTCCTTTACCCTAGAATTGATCCTAGCTAATTTTCTCAAGAGATATAAGACCATTTAGCACCATATAACACCTCACCATGAGTTTACGGCCATAAACTCATGGGGAGTGGGTCATTAGGGCCGTAAACTCTCTTATAAGTTTACTCTTGAAGGGTAAACTCCATATCCTAGTCATATACGTCCCTAGATGTCACCCGGGTCACTCGAAACACTCGAAATGAAGTGTTTTCGCGACTAGAAGTGTATATCCTCAACTAATTAGTATTACAAAGCCTAATTAGATACAAATGTGTATATTTTCATACTACATAGGGACCTTGCACGCGCTCAAGCCCCGAACTGACGTTTAGCATCCAAACCGACACATTCCACGACTGGTGAGCTCATACCCCTACCCTTTTTCCGTGTTTTTCAAATGTTTTCAAGGGGGGGGGGGGGAATACAAGCAAAAGTACAAGAAAATATTGTACTTAAACTTATTATTTTCAGTTCAAATGTTTCACAAATTGTATGACTTTATTATCAAAAATCGTATTAACCAATGGTTCGAATTGCAGAGTAAACTTTCAAACTAAATGTAGATTCCTTTATAAAGTGTTATAATCTATGTTATATTTCATAATTTACGAATAATTCATACTAATCATCAATTAGGATTAATACGAAAGTACAACTAGGAACAGAGCGAATACGAAAGTACAGCTACGAACAGAGTGAATATAAAAGTACATCTAGGAACAGAGCGAATACGAAAGTACATCTAGGAACAAAGCGAATACGAAAGTACAGCTAGGAATAGAGCGAATACGAAAGTTCAGACAGGAATAATACGAATACGAATACGAATACAAATACAAATAGGAATACGAATAGGAATACGAATACGAATACGAATACGAATACGAATATGAATAGGAATAGGAATACGAATATGAATACGAATAGGAATGGGAATACGAACAAGAAAGCACGTCTATGGATACGTTTGAGTGTAGAATAACTAGGATATCACAATACCTAGCTATTACAACAAGTATGTTAGATAATTGTACATTACATTTGGATTTAACTGAACTTTACTTTTAAGGAAAATAAGGTGTTACCTGGGATAACAAACTGTACATAACCGGATCGTATAATAAACGGATAACTCAACTAAACTTATAAGAAAATATGGGATTTTCTTGGATAACAAACTTTTCGGAAAACCAAAGGAAACTTGTACATTTTCAGAAAACAAACCTCTTATGAACTCACCTGATTTATGTTGATTTTCAAACTGCTTGTATTCTCAGGTCCATATTAGACAGGTACCCACGATCTTTTGGAGAAGACGAAGCGTATAGAAGACTCGTCTTAACTTTCATTCATATGATATATGTATAACCTTTGTAACACTTTGCTTTCAAACAAATGTAATTATTCATATGTAATGTTATGTTTTGTGTTTACTATGATTACTATGTACATTGGTTGCGATATTCATGATGTCCTCCGCCCCGGAACATTTCCGCCTTTGGTTTCGGGGTGTGACATCATGTACTAGCTTGATTATGACTATATGTTTGTATGTGCTGCAGGGCCCAGAGACAGGCGGTTCCTAGTAGAAACAGATATGTATACCGAGAAGGGATTAATGCCAGGCAAGGCTTGATGCCGGATTTATCTAATGACGAGCGAGGCTCGAGGTAGCAGGCTAGGCCCAATGTTTGTAGTATGTGATTATGTGTATGGAATGTGGTAGTTTCGAGAGACTCACTAAGCTTCTTGCTTACAGTTTTCAGTTTTGGTTTCAGGTACTTCCACTAACAAGGGGAAGAACTCGGGATGACTGTATGGCACACACCACAACGTTTAGCCTTGGATGATTTACTCTGATATTTTCACATATGATTTTGATACAATATTTTTTATGATGATTTGATATACATTACTTATGTCTTTTTATGAGATGATGAATGTTTTTTATGAATAATTAAAACAAATGTTTTGGACTGTATTTTGGGATTTTTCAAGTTGGTATCAGGGCCTTGGTTTGAGCGATTTGGGCACACTCGGGTGTGTCTGAACTCAAACTAAGGACTTGGTATGAAAATGTTCAAAATAAAATTATTTTTTATAAAAAGGAGTTTGAAAAAAAAAGAAGTTTAGAAAAGTGGAAAGAATTTTGAAAAAAAAGAGAAAATGGTGTGGTACATGCAATCAGTCGAGCTCAAGTAACTGCTCCCAAATTACCCATACAAGTTTATGTTATGATATATGTATAAGCTTTATGAGATCTGCATGCTAGATTAGGGCTAAGGATCTTGGGATGATGCCTTATGTGCCTGTCTTGTGTGAATCAGATTTATGAACTGCATGCTAGTACAGATTAGTTAGTGATATGATGGCTAGATTAGAATATTCTTGATTACGTGTACTCAATGATCAAATGTTGCTTTCTTTGTGCTTTTAGGAGTTGTAGTTATCTTTTACTAACTAGTAAACAAATATGTTCAGATACATATTACGAGTACTAAATAATTTCAGAAGGTTAGGTTTAGCGCTATGCCGTAGCTCTTGTTCGAGTCCAACCGTTGTAGGGTAGGACCTCTCATTTGAAGAGTTATCTAGTCTTAGTGATATGTAATGGTATTCGCGATCAAGTTAGGGGGAGATAGCAGGGAATTTTTATGCAACAGATGGCGGAGAGTGGGATGGTGATTACCCTGGGGTATGCCTAGGATAAGAGTAATTTTAGGAGCAATAGTAGTAAGGGACTTGGTGGATTCGATGCAATCCTTGAGGAAAGTACAGATAAATGTAGAAGGTAGTATGGGCCCGTACTACTGAAAACAGAGGATCCGTACTCGAGTCAAGGAGGGTTGAAATAAAAATGGATAACTTGTCCTGCGTGTGTGATCCCTTAATAGTGATGGGTATTCTGATTATTGTGATGGTATATTTCCGAGTATGGTGACGCTACGTGGTAGGCCAGATAGTTGTTTTGGTGACAGCGAGGGATCAGGCTTGGTCTCTAGAGCCTGATAACTTGATGGTCAGATGAGGGAGTTCATTCCATCTGAGAGTATGCACAGTATCACTTACCAGACTCCTGTGATCTTTGGTATGATCAAGGAGGGCA